TGTTGACCAGGATGGTCTCGATCTCTTGACCTCGTGATCCACCCGCCTCGGCCTCCCAAAGTGCTGGGATTATAGGCGTGAGCCACCACGCCCGGTGACAACTACTTCTTAATAGGAAATTAAAAGGTCAGTTGGGAAGACATGTTGGTTGAACATACCACAAGCACCATCCAAATGAAATCAGAGAGGCCACTTAGGGAAGGCCACCAAATCAGAGTCACAGAATGTCAGAGCTCAAAGGAGGCTCAGAGAGCTGGATTCTAAAAGGTTAAACCTCAGGCAGCACAAACCGCTTATAATCTCCTGCAATCCTCAGATCTGTTTTCCCTGCTCCCCACTCAGCTCAGTCCTAGGCTTCAATGTTTGCTTTTGCTTTTGAGCCCTTTCTTAAAATGAATTCTTGGCCAGGCGCGGTAACTCACAAGCCTGTAATCCCAGCACTTTGGGAGGCCGAGGTGGGCGAATCACGAGGTCAAGAGATCGAGACCATCCTAGTCAACACGGTGAGACCCCATCTCTACTAAAAATACAAAAAAAAATAGCCGGGCATGGTGGCACGCACCTGTGGTCCCAGCTACTCAGGAGGCTGAGGCAGAAGAATCGCTTGAACCCAGGAGGCGGAGGTTGCAGTAAGCCGAGATTGCACCATTGCACTCTAGCCTGGTGACAGAGCAAGACTCCATCTCAAAAAAAAAGAAAAAAGAAAAGAATTCTTAGCTCATTAAAATATAGCCTTTGATGGATGCAGTGGCTCATGCCTGTAACCCCAGCACTTTGGGAAGCCGAGGGAGGAGGATTACTTGAGCCAAGGCGTTTGAGACCAGTCTGGACAACATGGCAAGATCCTGTCTCTACACTCCCCCCAAAAATTAGCCCAGTATGTTGGTGCTAACCTGTGTCCCACCTACTCGGGAAGCTAAGGCCAGAGGATTGCTTCAGCCCAGAAGTTCGAGACTGCAGTGATCCATGATGGTGCCACTGCACTCCAGCAGCCTGGGTGACACAGTGAGACCCCACCTCAAATAAATAAATAAATAAATAAATAAATAAATAAATAAATGTCTTTCTTCTTTCCTAACCTAGGCATTTAAGGTTGTATATTTCCCCCATGTTCTGCTTTAGCTGTATCCAATAGATTTTGATAAATAATATTCTCATTGTTTAGTTCTGAATATTTTCTGATTTCTATCATGATTTCTTCTTTGACCCATGAGTTAGCCGATTTCTTTTCTTCACCAATCCATGTACTTGCTCTGTTCATGTCCTGTCTTCTCTGAGCCCTAGGGATCTAGGCTACCTTCTCCAAACCCCTCAGAGCATCTGTACCGGACTACATTGCTGAACTTTCAAAGGTTACAAGATACAATCTTGTAATCACTCAGTCAATCAGAGCTCAGTTACAAGACACAATCTTATAACTTCTCAATGGACTGATTCAATTCCCTTAACAAATTATAAGAGAAACTAAGGTCAGTGCAATAACCAATACGTCTTCTGTACCCACAGCTAATCAGAGAGCACTATACCGTGTTCCGTGCTCTGTAAATACCTTGCCACATAAGGCAGCTTTAGTGCAGCCTTGAAGACAAATTAGTTTATTTCCTCAATCTCAACCTACGGTTACCCAGACTTACGTGAACACCGCATACATTTTTGGAAAACAGACAAAAAGAAAAACTAAAATGTTCCCCAACCCAGTCCATTTTACCACTGCAGTGTAATTCTAATTCAATCATTCATTCAATAACTCATTTATTTCATCAACAAATATTTATGGAGTACCTACCATGTGCAAAGCACTATGAACACAACAAACTTTAAACAAATATGTATCAAGTACCTAATAGATTCTGGCTGAATAGATGAATGATGGATGAATAAGTCAATGACCAAGGCTGGACAATTGGTCTAGCATCGGCCATCTCATTAACTACAGCGAGCTTTTTCAAACTACTTTCCTTGGCCTCAATTTCCCGATTTATAAAGTGGAACGTTAGTGACTGTTCCATCTGCCTCTCAGGAGCCCTAAGAATCACTGTTTGGAGGAAACAAAAGAGATTCAAAATTACTCAGTGGTCATTTCTCTGTCTTGGTGGTCTCTGCTGAGTCATTACATTGTTGGGGGCAGTTGTATCCCAACTCTGAACATCTATGATCTAATGCAATTTCATACCATAAATCCTACATAAACATTTAAGCTATATTAATGTATAATACGCTAATATTATATATTAGTGTATAATGTGTTATGTTAATTATAAAATAGAGATTCAATATACTGCGATGTTATAACCTGTTGTGCCGTTAATTTAAAACAGAAATAAAAGCATACAAGTACAGAGTATCACTCATAACAGAAATAATCAATAGCAGACAGTGGTAATAGACACTGTCCTAAGCATTACTCATCGAATTAATTCATCGAATCCTCCCAACAGCCTTATAGGATAGGCACCATATGACTATTACCATTGCTTTATAGATAAGGAAACTGAAACAAGAGAGATTAAGGCTGGAGAGGCTCCATTGGGAAGCCTGAGACCACACAGGGTTGACCTTGAGCCTGCGCCATTCTGGCTCCAGAATCCGAGCCCCTGGCCACCACACACTTCCTCTCAGCAGAAGCAGTATGTTGGCCAGGAAAAGTGGCTCATGCCTGCAATCCCAACAGTTTGGGAGGCCAAGGCGGGAGGATTGCTTAAAGCCAGGAACTGGAGACCAGCCTGGGCAACAAAGCAACACCCCATCTCTAAAAGAAAAACAAAATTAGCTATGAGTGGTGGTACAGGGCCCATAGTCCCAGCTACTTGGAGGCCAGAAGCTCACTTGAGCCCAGGAATTCAAGGCTACAGTGAGCTATGACCGTGCCACTGCATTCTAGCCTGGGTAACAGAGTGAGACTCATCTCTTTAAAAAAAAAAAAAAAAAGAAGTTGTATGTTGCCTGCCAAGAGTCAAGAGCAAATTTTACCTGCCTGGCTACCTTTTTAGGGGAAATCCCATAGACCAAGTTACCCCACAGGCTGACTTCATGAGGATAAATCAATCTTGGTGACTAAGCACCCTTTCCTGGGAGCTCTGTGATGCACGCAGGAGCGCCTCACCCTCTGGGATGGTGTGAAGATCGGCAACCTGATTTCATCACATTCATACTGGCTGACGAAACCCCGCTCCCGTGCCAGGTCCAGCATGCCCTCCACATGGCTGTGGAGCCTCCTGACAATGGCTGGCCGGTGACTCTGCAGGTCTCGGGCTGGGTGGAGCGAGTAGGGGTCCCAGCAGCCATGCAGCTTGGGGGTCTGGCTGTCAGCCTGGGCTTCCTGGACAGCTGCGATGAGTTTCTGACAGGCCCAAGTGCCCTTATTCCAGATGGTATCCAGGAGGCGCCTGGCCAAGTTGGAGAGAGGCTGGCCCAGGATGTGGAAGCCCTCGTAGTCTTCCCAGGAGAGGACCTCCCAGGAGAGCAGCCAGTCCAGGACACTCTCGAAGCCTTCCAGGGACCCCGAGACCAAAAGCTCCACCAGCTGGCTTCTCTGAGCCTGAAAAGCCTCCTGCGAGCACATTTCACAACCTGGGGAGGAGAACAACATCAATGCGGGACTTCTCTGAAAGCCAGATGCAGGGTGGTCGGGAAGGCCAAGGCAAGTCAGCCCCAGCAAAACCTGAGTTGGCTTTGGTTCTAGCCTCAGACTTTATCCAATCCAAGCTCCCCACCATTCAGATGTGCAAATTGAGGCCCAGAGAAGGCAAGAAACACCTCAAGATCCCACAGAGAGTTTGAAGCAACCAAAAATTAAATCAAGACCCCTAACTCCCATATGCATGCTTGGTCTCTGGCTTAAAACGTTTAAAAAGGCTTGAGGTACTATTAGGAGCAAGAGATCTCCTAAGGTCACTTGAGGTCAGGAGTTCGAGACCAGCCTGGCCAACACAGTGAAACCCTGTCTCTACTAAAAATGCAAAAATTAGCCAGGCATGGTGGTGGGCACCTGTAATCCCAGCTACTCAGGAGGCTGAGCAGTAGAATCGCATGAACCCGGGAGGTGGAGGCTGCAGTGAGCTGAGATGGAGCCACAGCACTCCAACCTGGTCAACAGAGACTCTGTCTCAAAAAAAAAAGAGAGAGAGAGAGATCTCCCAAGTGATCAGGGAATGAATTCTCTTCGAAGTGGGGTGAGAGGGGCTCTTTGATCCTGACTGGCTTCGGGCTACAGCAGTTTCAGTAATGGTTAATATTTATTACGCATAAACAATACGCCGGGCGCCATTCTAAGTGCTCTCCTGCATGAATTCACGGGACCCTCCCAGCCACTCTGAAGTAGTGCTTACGATAAGCCCCATTTTACAGAGGAAGAGACTGAGGCACAGAGAGGCTAAGTGATTTGTACGACATGTCACAGCTAGACAGGGTGGGCCAGGCTTTCAACACAAGCTGTGTGCGACTCCAGAATGCATGTCTCTACCTCTTATATTCCGGTTCCCCACGGGGGCCCCAAGCCCGTGCCATGTGCTTTGCACACTGCTCTCCAAGGAGTAGGCTCAGGGTATTGTTCTAAAGGTCCCAGCCTAGGCAAAGTGAAAAATTACGGTGCAAACTAAGTTGTTTCCAAGCGTTCTGGTGCCTTGTCCCCGTCGACACTTCCCCACACACTTGCCCTAGGGCCCTCGCCTCCCTCCCACACCCTTGAAACCACGTGAACAGGCTGCTCCCCTGCTATTGTCAGTAACATGCTCTGGGTTCTGGGGATTTGAAGTGAAGTGACCCTCCAGGAGCTTCAAGACCTGGGAGGGTCCCTGAGCAGCCGGGAACATCTCTCAGCATGATCGGTACTACAATTGTCATGGTGTCCATGGACAAGGGCTGGTGCAGTGCCCAGAAGAAACGAAAGTGAAAGGGGGTAAGTACGGAAAACAAAGAGGGCCGTCAGCTTCTTTTTATAAATCAGGGACATTCCCAGACACTCAAGGGGGCAGATGCCAAGTGGGGATTTTGCATCTTTCCTGATGGTTGTTTATGTGTCTCTCTCCCTGCCTGGGCCACGTGGAAGCCTGGGTCTTACCCGTCCTGGCATCCCTGAGCCTGGCACAGTGCTGTGCCCCACAGAGGCACTGTGGGAATGTTCATGAATCAAATATCCCCTGGGCATGGGGTGGTGGGAACATTCTGTGCCCGTCCTCATACGGCAGACATGGTAAGCAAAAGGAGAAACCTTTAATCTCTCAGAACACTGCTGGGGCACAGAGGACCCTGTACTGGACAGATGGGGAAACTGAGGCAATGAGGTTACTGGTGTGTCTGGCTACTTGGGAGAGAGGGTGTCGCCCTGCAGAAGCCACTGGAAGCCAGGAACTAAGGTAGTTCTCTGAGGCCAAGGAGGTCTCCTCCCTGTGCCCACCTCTAAATAGAGGAGCCAAGAGGGTGGGGTGGCTGGGGACAGGGGAGCAGAGGAGGAAAAGGGGCAGAATAAGCTCTGGGCTCAGCCCTGGAGTGGTTCTCAGCTGTGGAAATACCAGCCAAGGATGCAACGGTAGCCCCAACCATCGCCCCTGCCCAGGTCCTGGGGAAAATAACCACTCTCCTACTCTCCCCAGAAAACAGCCCAGAAATGGAGCCAGCACTCCGCGTCTGACCCCAGGCCTGGGAGCATGTGTGCAGCCAGGAATGAAAGAAGGCTAAGAGTCAAGCTGAGCCAGGACAACGCCTGCTCCTCTTACCCAGGGAATGTTCGAGGAGGACACTTGCTCCTTCCTCCTCATCAGGAGAGCCTGGACCACTCTCTTCCCCCATCAAAGCCCACTAGGCTGGGGAAGCAGGCATGGCATCTGTGGGTGGGCCTTGCACAGAATGCCAAAAGCCCAGAGGCACAGGACTGGCGAGCCCAGCCACCTCCCAGGGAAATTTCCAAAGGAAGGGCCGGAGACCAGAGTTAGCCAACCAGCCATCCAGGACTAAGTAATTCCAGGCAATTCTGGCACAAAGACTTGTGTATCCTGGCGACCACAACCCTCACTGAAAAACCCCACTGGGGACATGAGACACATTCACAGGGGGACAGGTCGAAAGTAAGTAGGGACCCCTCCCTAGCACACCAAGCCTGGAGCAGCCTGGCGTACGTGTGAGCCATACACACTCCAGCTAGTGACGTCCGGTTTCTGTGGACTCCAGGAAGGGGAGGCCCGCCCAAGCCACATGGCTCAAGCCATGTGGGGAGACCCGCCCAAGCCACCAGCAGCTGCATCACCACACCTCTGCCCTTGCCTTCTTCCAGAAGCCTCAGAGCAGAGGGAATCCTAAGGACCAATTCAGCCAGCCCCCTGTCTCTGAGCAGGCATTATCCTGTCTCATCTTAAACATCTGAGGAGGACCTGGCCTTAGTGCTGTCATCACTAACCAGCTCAGGAAGCTCCCCAGCTTGGGAAGTTCCTCATTATGTCTTGCTTCAGATTTTCCTGCTTCCGTTTAAATTGAGAAAGACAGAGAAAAAATAGATATTCACTTATTATCCGTTTCCTAAAAATTGTCCTTAACATCCTTCCTCTTACCCCTGTATCACCTGGTCGGGCTTCCCCTTTTCAGACAAAATCTATCAGTCTATCTGTATCGCCTTTTGCTCTCTCCTTCAGTTACTACAACTTCAAAGACACCATTGTCCTCCCCAAGGTGAGGGCCATGTAGAGAAAGGGGCACTTCCTTGCTGAAAGAGAGGGTCAAGGGGCGACCCACGTGGCCTCTCCCTAAACGCCAGGCCCAGATCTGAGGCCGGACACCTCCTTCCTTCCTGAGACCACAGCCAGCCTGGTTTCTTTAGGGCCAAGAGCAAATGCATGGCTTAAGTGCTGAAATCTCAGCCCACTAACCCCTTGCAGACAGGAGAGGAGGGGAAACCCAGGGAAGCTCAACTTCCCAAGCCTTTTGGGTCTCCGCGGGCACCAAGCCCCACACCCTCCCCCAGCCATCCTCCATTCTCCCTCCCCTTCACTGAACTTCTCTCCCTAAGAGACCAGTTCCCCCCACCAGTGAACAATGCACTCTAATCCTCCATTGTAAAAGTAAAGCCCTCTCTTGACGCCTCTCTTCATTTGGCTCCAATCCCATTTCTCTGCCTCCTTTATAGCAGGCCCCCTTGTCTGTTGCTTGCTCTACTGTTCCCAAATCCTCCCATCCCTTCTCATCCCCCAAGTTCCCCATCCAGCTCCAGTGAGACTGTTTTGGTCATGGTCACCAGTGACCTCCTGTTGCTCAATCCTAAGCCCTCAGCCTGCCTGCTCTGCCAGGGGCATTGGTCATAATTGCTCCCTCCTTCCTCCTTGGGGCACCCCAACTCTCTGATTTTCACTCTTCCTGTCTTCTTGGCTGGTTCTTAACACCAGGGACCCCAGCACTCAATGGTTGGACCCCTTCTCTTCTCCATATAGCCCCCTTCCTAGATGAATCCACCTGCTCTTGTGGCTTTAAATACCAGCTATATGGTGACGATGCCCACAGTTTCATTTCCAACTCCAACCTCCGCCCTTAACTTTTCCCAACTGCTTAATCATCATTGATGCTTAATGGACAGCTCACACAACAAGCACAAAACCAAACTCCTGATCTCCCCCATCGCAACTCCCATTTCAGTTCACGACAGCTTCAAACCTCCAGAAGCTCGAGCCAAAAACTCAGAATCATCCTTGATTCTACCTTTCTCTTGCACCCCAAATCCTATTGACATAGCCTTTGAAATATATCCCAAATCTGAAGGTCTGGGGTTTTTTTTCTATTTTGTTTAACCACCTGTGGGCTATGGTGTAAGCCACTGTGGTCTCTCCGAGAATGACAGTACCGATTCTCTCACCAGGCTCTCCTTTTGCTCTTAGCCCACCCATCACCGTCCATTCTCCACCCCACAGCTGGATGGGCCTGCCAGACCCCAAGTCAGAGCAGGTGACTCCTCAGCTCCAAACCAGGGCTCCCATTGTGCTCAGAGTAAAAGCCAAAGCCCCCCCCTCCCCCACCGCCCTGCACAGATACTCACAAGGTTCACCCTCGCCTCCTGATGACTGCCCAGCTGTCATGGTCTTGGGGAAGCCTTCCCTAACTGTGCTATAAACAATGCAATACCCAGCCCCAGCACCCCATCCTGCTTCCCCGCTTTGTTTTACTCGTAGCACTTCCCATCACCTGCCATGCCATAGATTTACTTCTTTCATTGCTGTCCATTCCCTTCTAGAATGTGTACTCCATGAGGGCAGGGAGTTTTGTCTGATTTCCCCATTGCTCGTCTCGCATCTCATCCAGTGCATGAATGACGACTGCTGGAATGGATGTGTTCTGCATGGCTCCGGGAGACAGACGTGGAACCAAGGTGCAAAATCTGTAAGCCACAGATTTTAGGTAAAGGAAGCAAGAGCCGCAAGACACTGAAAAGCCACCTCATCAGTAATAAGCTCCCCACCACCAGGCATGTGTTGCAGAGGGCTTCTGAACTGGGTTGGAGGGAGGTGGGGTGGATGAGGATGCTTCCAGCCTCAGATCCCAGGGTGCAGAGAGGCAGAGGGACCTTGGGAGGCCAACAAATTCAGGGGCTGCAGCAACCCCATGGCTGAGTGATTGGGACAGGCAAGTACAGGTAGTGAGGATGTCACTCTGGTCTTCCTCACTAAGGGGTTGGGGAGGGTGACAGGGCAGGTGATCCCCCTCTGTAGAACAAGGACCTTGGAGGAGGCCAAGTCACAGCCCATGGGGAAACCAAGGCCATGGCAGGAAGCCCAAGGGCTCAGAAAGAGCAAATTTGGAAGCAGGGGTCCAGCCCCCAACCCTCATGCAGCTTCAGGAGGCCCTCCGCAGGGCGATTGGGTAGAGGGCTTTTCAGTTCATTGGAATGTAAGCAGGACCAGACAGCTGCTCCATCAACTTGAGAAGCAGACAGCAAACAGCCGGGGGTGTGGCCACGCAGGTCCTGGTGTGGGCTATCCGGGAAGGGATGGATTTGAACTTAGATCTCACACCCACCAAGGGAAAAGGAGGAGGCAGGAGATTCCCCTAAGAAGTGCAGAGAGCAGCAGTAGGATCCTCCAGGCAGACCCTCTGACACCCACTCACTGGGATGGTGAAGATGGGGAAACTGAGTCCCACAGAGAGGAAAGAACTCAAAAGAATGATGCCCTCAGAGACCTAAAGCCCGGGCTCCTCAGGACTTCTCACTCCTGCCAGGGGCCTCCCCAACCTGGAGATGTCCCCTTTCCTTCTCCTGTCCCATCTACACCCGGGACTCCCCCAGGAGAAACCGAGGCAACCCTTCTCCAAGCCCTGCGGCCAAGACTGCTGGGACGGACGCCAAGTGTTCGAGTCCTGGGGACGGGACCATCGGCGCCCACAGTCTCCCCGCAGCCCACCCCCAGGCGCTAGGCACAAGCAGCGCGCCGAAAAACAGCACTCACCGCGAGCTGCCGGCGCCCCGACTCCAAGGCCCGCTCTGGGCCACGACTCGGGGCTCCAGCTCCAGCTTGGGCTTCAGCTCCTGTTGCGCCGGCGCCCGGCTCCGCCCCCGCCTGGACCCCGCCCCGGCTCTGCCCGGACTGCCGCGCCCGCTCCAGTCCCCGGCCCCGCAGCCCGGAGAGGCCCGCTCCAGAGCTGGCCAGGTTCACCTGGGACAGGGAGGGAGCGCGCAGGAAAGGGGCCGGGCCTGCCTGCGGGGCTGGACGGCCCTGGCTGTGTGCCCTGGCCAGGGGGCCTCCCTTTCTGGGCCTCATTTCAACCAGGAGGAAACCGGACAGTCCTTAGAACAACCCGCTTTCCAACACACACACCACGCACACACACCACACACACCGCACACACACTGCTTCCACACACACGCTGCTTCCCAACACACACATACACACACACATACCACTTCCCAACACACACTTACACCCCACACACACCACTTCCCAACACACACACTTCACACACACACACACACCACTTCCCAACACACACTTACACCCCACACACACTGCTTCCCAACACACACATACANACATACATACACACCCCACACACACTGCTTCCCAACATACACATACACACACACACCAC